TTGCTCGAATTAACGTTAGTTTTGAGGAGAAACTCTTAGAAAAGTTGCACAATAGCTATCTCTACCAATTTAATGTTAAGGTTAAAATGTACATTAAGAAAATGGAAAAACCGAAAAACTTGAAATGGAGTATACTCGTCTCTGGAGTTCGTCTAAATTTCAGCAATATCAAAGATCTTGTGCAAAATTCCAAAAAACAAATTTTTTGTCGATGGATGAAACTGCAAGAGAAAGACAATTAAGAGGGAACAACCAATTTTATATTTAATTTGAAAAGGATCAGAGTACTTCAAAAAACGGTTTCTTGTTTGAAAGAAATTAAAAAACTTGGCAACATATTTGATTGGATGAAAAAGTTTTGGCAACATATTCGTAAAAAGTTTTTCAAGTTTTTCTTTTGAAAGCAAAAGTGAAGCTGTCAAAAATAAAAAATTGCTGTCAAACAGTCCTGAGATATTCCATCAAAAACAATGTTTAAATAAATAGATGTTTTTCTCAAAAAGATAAAAATCTCTTTTCAATTTTCCTTGGATAGCCCTAGGGACAAAAAATTAGCTAAGCAGAAAGAGTATCTAGTTTTCAAAGTCTAACAGATAAAATAGTCCTGTCAATTTTCCTTCTGATATCCTGAGATAAAAATAGGTTAAAGGGGATGTAAGTTTTAGTAGGACAACATCGATCACTCAAACTTCTGATTTACTATAAAAATTGCTGATCTTTTTGAGAAAAAGTTTCAAACGCTCATTTTTTTTTTCAAAAGAAAGCAAGTTTCTACATATTGTTTTTTAAAGGTTTTCCAATTTTTGTCGGTTATATTTTTGAACTCCTAATAATAGCTTCTGATAAACTGAGAAAATCATTTTTTTCTCCGTTTTTTGTTTTGTTGAAGAAATCTTTCAACATTGTTAATATTTTTTTTGATTAAAAAAATATTTTTTAAAATTGATTGCTGGAATTGTTACTTATTTTTTCTGTAATTCGAAAAAGTTTACCAATTTTTGTTTTGAAAGCAAAAGTGGAGCTCTGTCAAAAATAAGAACCCACTTTCAATTAGTCCTAAGATATTCCATCAAAAACAATGATGATTGAATATAATACCGATGTTTTTCTCAAAAAGATAAAACTCTCCTTTCAGTTTCCTAGGATAACCCAAGGGACAAAAAATAAACTAATCAGAAAAAGAATCTGGTTTTCAAAACTTAACAGATAATTTAGTCCTGTCAATTTTTTTTCTGATATCCCGAGATAAAGAAAATGTTAAAGTGGATTTAAGTTGTAATAGGACAACATACACCACTCAAACTTCTGATTTACTATAAAAATTGCTTATCATTTTGATTAGAAGTTTCAAACGCTCAGATTGTTTTCAAAAGAAAGCAAGTTTCTGCATATTGGTTTTTTCAAGGTTTTCCAATTTTTGTCGGTTATATTTTTGAAATCCTAATACTAGCTTTTGATAAACTGAGAACATCATCTTTTTCTCTGTTTTTTGTTTTGTTGAAGGAATTTTTCATTATTGTTAATATTTTTTATAACAAAAAAAGATACTTTTTAAATTTGATTGCTGGAATTGTTACTTTTTTTTGGTAATTCGAAAAAAATTTTTTAAAGTTTTTGTTTTGAAAGCAAAAGTGGAGCTCTCTGTCAAAAATAAGAACTTGCTGTCAAGTAGTCCTGAGATATTCCATCAAAAACAATGATGGTTGAAAATAATACCAATATTTTTCTCAAAAAGATGAAACTCTTCTTTCAATTTTCCTAGGATGGCCCAAGGGACAAAAAATAAACTAAACAGTAATAGTATCTAGTTTTTAAAACCTAAAAGATTATTTAGTCCTGTCAATTTTTTTTCTGATATCACGAGATAAAGAAATTTTTAAAGTGGATGTAAGTTTTAATAGGACATTATACACCGCTCAAACTTCTGATTTACTACATAAATCGCTTATCATTTTGGTTAGAAGTTTCAAACGGTCATTTTTTTGAAAAGGAAGCAAATTTTTACATATTTGGGTTTTCAAGATTTTTCAATTTTTGTCGGTTATATTTTCGAGTTCCTTATACTAGCTTTTGATGAATTGAGAAGTTCAATTTTTTTCTCATTTTTGTTCCGACTTTCGATACGAAAGTAACGAAATATTTGTGCTCGGGGTGGGTTTATTTTTTTCTTCAGATAAATGTCGACTTTTTAACTAGCCTATTTTGACGGAATTTTTTTATATCATTCGAAAGCTATTGTTGTCCTGAGCTCAAATTTGAAAAGATATTTCACCTGTGATCATTTTTCGTAAAGTTAAGGGGGTTTAAAGATTGCCATTTTGGCCAATTTGGGACAATTAACGCGCGATAAATTTCGCGCTATTAACGCGTAAACGAGATTTAATCCGTCTTAGAAATCGTTTTAAATTGGTTCAAGGAAGCTTATATGCCATAATTGATTTGTTAGTAGGCGCAAAATCTATCAATTTGTACTTAATATGACGTGTGGGGGGATGTTTTTACATAAAATCTCAATTTTTTTCAAAATTTTTTTTTTATTTTTTTGATTACTTTGAAATTTTTCATCTTATTAATGCTCCATAGACCTTAAAAGGCAGTCGGAACTTTCAGGGCTTCGCCCTGATACGAGCATTCTTGTTTTTATTTTGTTGAAGAAATCTTTCAACGCTGTTTTTTTTTCTTATAACGAAAGTAAGATACAATTTAGTTTCGATTGTTGGAATTATTTGTTATTTCAAGTTTTTGTTCAAGTTTTTGTGATGTAAACAAACTTCAAGTTTTTGTTATGTAAACAAAATTATATTCAACTTCGCTACGTCATTTTTCAGAAAAAAAAGTCAAATTTCAAAAATTTTTCGTGCGTTTTTGAGATAAATTTTAACATCCTTTCCAATGTTTTATTTAATTTAATATTTGTTTTAAGTTCAACTTCTTTTTCAAATTTTGGAATTTTCCTTTTTTGAATTTGTTTTCCTGATATCTTTAAATGAATTTAATTCCGATGTCAGAATGTCTCATCGGAAAGAAATGAAGAAAATCATTTAATGGAGTAATATTTCCTATAAATATTTTTCGTTATTAATTTTGTGTGCGTGTGTGCTGCATTTGAACATTTATGTGTATATAAATATATTCTGATATCTTTTTCTCAAATCTTGGATTTTTCTGCTTTTTATATTTTTTTCTGATTTCTTAAAATAAAATTATTTGGGAATTTTCCGTTTTTTTTATAAACATACTTTCTGATATCTTTTTCTCAATTTTTGGAAATTTCGTTTTAATAAATTTTTCTGCTATCTTTGAGTTAAATTATTTCCGACGTAAGAATGTCCATTCCGAGAGAAGTGAGGAAAGCAGTTTGATAAATTAATGTTTCCAGAATCATTGTAGCTATTTGACCAAAATCATCTTAAAGATAATGCTTGATTAATTCCCACCCGTCAAGATATTGGGCTAAAAGAAAGTAATAAATAGCATATATTTTTTTTTGTTTCAAAGATAAGAGTCTACTGACAAATTATATCCTGGGGAAAAAAGAAAGTATGAAACAGGATGTAAAATTTTAGTAGGGAAAAGGAAAGATTGAAAGGGATGTAAATTTTAGTAGGCGCTGACAAATCGGTGACTCAACTCTTCCGCTTTTTACACTGATCAGCTCTTACTATACTAGTGCTGACTTCAATTAGCCGAACAAAACGAGCTAAACTTGAAATTTAAAACGCGTTTTTCTCAAATTGGGTTGAGTTTAGGTGAAAAATTATGAAGACAAAACTTGCTTAAAATTTTAGCGGAATTAATGTGGTGTAATCTGTTTTGCGAAATTCGGGCAGCATAATTTTACCCCAAAAATGGGTCATTTTGGCTTTTCTTAGTTAATAAAAAAAATAGGCCAAAAGTAGCGTATTTTTTTATTAACTAAGAAAAGCCAAAATGACCCATTTTTGGGGTAAAATTATTCTGCCCGAATTTCGCAAAACAGAATACACCACATTAATTCCGCTAAAATTTTAAGCAAGTTTTGTCTTCATAAGTTTTCACTTAAACTCAACTTAAACTCAACGCGCTACCGCTTAAAGTTAGTATATATTGGCGCCGAAGGCGCCTTTAGAAAAATTTTAGGGTCGGTCGGCCAAAAATGGATTTCTGAAAAAGTATCAAAGGGGGGACCCTTTGGGTCGGCCGGAGGTCGAATCCCTGAGGGGGGGGCGTCCCCCCCCCCCCTAAATCCGCCCCTGCCTCTCCTGTTCCTTAACTTACCAATGCTAGCTAGCTACCAAATCAACACATACTTACGTGTATTACGTATTAAGCGACTGACGTCGTGTTGTAGTGTGAACAAACTATTACGTAATACGAGTATTCTTACGCGTTTGTCTTACGTTACGTATGTTTACAATGTGCAACGTTCATTCTAACGAAGTGCAGTAAACAGAATTAACAAAGTAGACTTTTCAACTACAATATTTTCGACAATTTTAATTTTAAAGCCATAATAGAGGTTTGGCTTTTAAAGAAGCCAGTTTAGAAAGGGATTATTTTCATTATAATCACAATCACAAACTGAAAGAGGCTGATGAAAACCTAGGTTGCATTTGCAAACTTTCTGCAGTGTACCAATTAGTTTTTTCTCAAATTTTCGTAGAAATAGCTCAAGTGATACATAAATCTCATTATCAATTACCAAATCAGCTGTTTTTTTTACAGACAAAAAACAATAATGGTGGAGCAATTTTTTTTTATTTTTCAAAGTCATTTTTCGATGTTTCGAATTATTTTCAATCGGCCTAATCGACTCTCATTGTGTAGTATGTTGAATTTTGTGCGTCAATCGTGTAGTAAATTACATAACATTGTGCCGTCGTATTACGTAATCGTAATCCAAAACAGAACGGTTATGTGAATGGACTGACGCGATATGTTGTGTTTATGGTGCGAGGTACAAATGCTGCAATTTGATTGGCCAGAATGAAAAAGTGGTCTTACCAACAAACGTAAATACCATTTTTTTCTTAATTTGTCTTTTTTACTCCGCGACTTTAAATCGGAAAAGAGCACGTTAAAGTTCTCCATTATTTTCCCTTAGTTATAAAATAAAATCGAAGTTACCGCCATCGGAACTTCAGCAGTAAACTGGTAAGTAAAATCTTTTGCAATGAAACACGACGAGAGCTGCGAAAACACCTTAATTAGTTGAGAGAGAGTTAGTTGGCCAAAAATTTAATCACAATCCGCGAAATCAATGATCGTTCGGCGCCGACGGAAATGAGAGGCGGGCCCATTGTCGGAGACCGGTCTATTAGCATGTGCCCATTGCCATAGCATGCCATATTGCCAGGCTCTTTTTACTCCCCCCCCCCCTTCCCACCTCACGCCAGTTTCAACTTATTAGTGTAACGAGTGGTTTTACGAGGTTGAGTATGAAGACCAAATATGTTTGTCGTGGCCTTATTAGTCGGTATGTAAATTTTCATAACAATTGGACAATGTGGTCAACAATTTATATGTAAAAATTTGCAGGTGGGGGGGGGGAAGGAAAAAGAGCCTATTGCCAATGTAACAGAACGCAGCTGACTCGCTCGCTCTATAAGGTTTTGATTACCGAATATTGTCAGCCTAAAAAGTTAGCAGTTTGACGATTTCTACAATACTATAGACTGGTCCCTAGAAAAAGCCACGGCTCTTTTTCCTTTCCCCCCCACCTGCAATTTTTTACAAGTAAAGTTATTGTTCACATTTTCCGATCATATGAAAACTGACATGCAGACTAATTAGAATGTGCCAAACACGTTTGGTCTCCTTATTTAATCTTGTAAAACCACTCGTTACACCATAAAATTGATGGTCGTGGGAGGTGGGGGGAAAAAGGAAAAAGAGCCAAAGCCACTATGATAGACATATGCCAAAAGACATCACCATGTAGTTCGCATGTAATAACTTAGAAGCTAAATTGTGTATAAATTATTCAAAAAGCTCGCGAAATATGTTTGAATTAGATGGTTCTTTTTCTTTGAATTAGATGGTTTGAATCAGGGTTCTTTTTCGTTTCCCCCCACCCAGGGGCGGATCTAGGATTTTCTCGAGGGTCGGATTTTCAAAAAAATTTCGAAAATTTTGTCGACCTTTTTTTTTAGGGTCCGACCCAATTGATTTTTTGAGCTCTCCCTAAGCATTGTTTAGTCCCTGTTGTGGCCAAAATTTCTGCGCCGCAGGCAAAATTTTGAAAAACCAGGCCAAAAAGGTGTTTTTAGGCACTTTTTGAAAAAATTTGACCAAAAAATCGCGTTTTTCGGCGCGCGCTCCCCCCTCAGAATTAGTACATATTGGCGCCATAGGCGCCTTTAGAAAAATTTCAGGGTCGGTCGGCCAAAAATGGATTTCTTAATAAGTACCAAAGGGATTCTTTGGGTCGGCAGGGGGTCGAATCCCTGAGAGGCGGGGCGTCCGCCCCCCTCAATCCGCCCCTGCCCCCACCTCACATAAGCATATCAATTTTACGGAGTAACGATGGGTTGTTTTACAAGGTTAAACATGAAGACCAAAAATTTTCGAATGGCCTACTTAGTTCGCATGCCAATTTTAGTAACATTCGGAAAAAGAACCCTTTTCAGATTCAAAAGGGTCGTACCCACAGAACCGCATTCCCGGATAGCCGAAAAGAAAACGGAAACACTTTTTCCTCCCCCCCCCCACCTGCAAATTTTTATACTTATGTTACTGTTCACTTTGTCCGATTGTCGTGAAAACTGACATGCAGACTAATTAGGCCAATAACAAGCATATTTGGTCTTCATAATTAACCTTGTAAAACCACTCGTTAGACCATAAAATGGCTCTTTTTCCTTTTCCCCCCACCTCCCTCGACCATCAATTTTATGGTGCAACGAGTGGTTAGCACATCCTAATTAGTCCGCATATCAGTTTTCATAATGATCGGACAATGTGAACAGTAACTTAACTAGTAAAAAAAATGCAGGTGGGGGGGAAGGAAAAAGAGCCAAATTATGCATAAAACACTTTGTTTCTTTGGTAATATTGACAATTACTAAACTTAATATACCGATTAGCTTATGAAATTGTTATTTCTGTTTTTCTGCTCTTGGACCTATTCTGCTCTTAGACCGCTGAAGTCCCATTTGGGCTCTTTTTCCTTTTCCCCCCACCTGCAATTTTTTACATGTAAATTTATTGACTACATTGTCCGATTGTTATGAAAATTTACATACAGACCAGTAAGGCCACGACAAACATATTTGGTCTTCATACTCAACCTCGTTACACTAATAAGTTGAAACTGGCGTGAGGTGGGGGGGGGGGGAAAGGAAAAAGAGCCCCCATTTGCACCATGATTCTTTTGTACCATAATGAAAACTCGGTCCTATTTGTACCAAAATAGTTCAACTCGCTTTCTGATTGGTTGAATTATGAGCCAACGAATTATTAATTCAATTTTCTATTGTTCTAACAACGTAAGATAAACCAGCAGAATAGTGAACGCCTCAGTCGCGCTTACGTGTTGTGAGCTTGCGAACATAGGGTAAGAATCAATCCGAAAATAAGAGCGGTTATCGCCGCCAAGCGACGACGCGTGCCCACTGGCGACCTTTAACCAAGAGCTTAAAATAGTCGGCTTAGTATTCATTTGACCAATTGAATATTTTTTGATACAAAAGCGATTGGTTTTAATGATTAGGTACTACTATGATAGAGTGGTCCCTCGAAAAAGCAACTATGATAGACAGGTCCCGCATGCATTTCGCATGTTATAATTTTGAAGACTAATTTGTGTAGAAATCATTCTTTTCAAAAATCTTGCAAAATATGTTCAGCCAGAAACTTTTCGGCTCTTTTTCCTTCCCCCCCCCACCTGCAAATTTTTACATGTAAATTTATTGACCACATCGTCCGATTGTTATGAAAATTTACATACAGACTAATAAGGCCACGACAAACATATTTGGTCTTCATACTCAACCTCGTAAAACCACTCGTTACACTAATAAGTTGAAACTGGCGTGAGGTGGGGGGGGGGGGGGGGGGGGGAAAGGAAAAAGAGCCAACTTTTCAGATTGAAAATTGTAATCACTATTGTTTGTATATCGAAATTTGCTCGCTTTACTTTATTTTACGGTTTAACAACCATATAATTGGGTTGAGTTATTCATCATCAAAACCCACTATTGGCGGTTTTTTTTTTAAATTTTCAACCTTAAAATGGTGAGGTGGAGGTTTTAAGAGGTAACAAAACATGAAATTTGTTTGAAAATATACTGCGACTTTTTTCTGAAAGGCGGCGTAATCATAATTATTAAAAGATATGAGAGCTCTAGGTGTCGTATTCTCAAGGGACCTGGTTATTTTCAAGGGACCACTATCATAGTAGTACCAATTATTATTCGTGGCACCTGATTTCGTGAGGAACCTTGTTTTTTTTATTTGCAACACACCTAAAGACAATGTCTTTTATATCATAATTTCTATAATTTTTGCCATTTTTCTTGTTCGGGGGGGGGGGGGGGGGAGAACAGAAGGTACTACTATGATAGAGTGGTCCCTTAAAAATAACCAGGTCCCTTGAGAATAAGACACCTAGAGCTCTCAAATCGTTTAATAATTATAATTACGCCTTTCAGAAAGATGTCGCAGTATATTTTCAAACAAATTTTTTGTTTAGTTACCTGTTAAAACCTCCCCCTCATCATTTTAAGGTTGAAAATTGAAAAAAAACCGCCAATAGTAGGTTTTGATGACAAATAAGTCAACCCAATTATATGGTTGTTAAACCGTAAAATAAAGTAAAGCGAGCAAATTTCAATATATAAACAATAGTGATTACAATTTTCAATCTGAAAAGTTTCTGGCGGAACATATTTAGCAAGATTTCTGAAATGAATAATTTATACACAAATTAGTTTTCAAAATTATAACATGCGAAATGCATGCGGGACCTGTCTATCATAGTTGCTTTTTCGAGGGAACACTCTATCATAGTAGTACCGAACAGAAAACGAGCTTGACAACAAAATGTAATTCGTGAAGTGAATTACTAAGACCGATTAGGCGTGCCGAACATCAAGCCGACTAAACTTCAACTCGAATCGGTTTTCAGATTCTGCAATGAAAAATGCGGCTGATCTAACTATCTGACGCCACTCTTAACCGCTGCATTGTCTTGAAGAACGCTTAATATTAACTAAACTTGCCTGAAGTTTTGAAAACAAACATTTTACTTAAAAAAATGTAACCTTTTGAGGTGCGTGTAAAATTTAAGTTTCGGCTAGAAGTCCCGTCGAGCTGTTGTCCCAGACCCATCAATGAATTTGCCCTAATTCATTTTGAAGCGATTTGTAGTATGGGATAACTCGTCTCGCGTTAATAACACGCGCGTTACTCTTTCAGAATCAAGTATAAAACCAGCACGAGTTAGTTGTGTAAGGTTAATATAATGGTGTGAGAACTCGGCGGGTTTCACCAGGATTCATGAATCGGTAGTGAGATAATGAGCAGTAGGGTCTAAGAGCAGAAAACCCGACAAGTTTTGATTTATACGGACTAATCGAAAATTTTTTTTTAAGAATCGTCAAAGCTACTAAGGAAATTAATAATTTATACATTAAAGTTTTAATGTTTATAAAATTACTCATTTTATGTATAATCTATTCATTCTGGGTATTATAGACAATACTAAAGCTTGTTTTACCGATAAGTTTACAAAAGTTAAAAATTGTCTGTTTTTCTGCTCTTGGACCCGTTCTGTTCACTTTTCTGCGTACTGCTCCGTCTCCCTCTAGATCGATCCCTCGAGAAAATTGGACTGAAAAAAAAACAAGATTGCTCGTATCCGAGCACAACCCTGAACGTTTCGACTGCCCTTTAACTGGTCTCGAATGAGTTTTGGCAACTGAATTATTCACGATTTATGAGCCTAAGGCTGATAAGCTCAATTTTTATGTGTTGATTTGTTTATGGATTTATTAAGACCAGTTAGCTTAATGACTCAATTCAATTTAGAATGATTGTAGTGCGGGCAAATTCGCCTCGCATAAATTATTTTCGTTACACTTTCAGGATTAAAGTAAACAAGACTACTCGTATCAGGGCGAAGCCCTGGATGTTCCGACTGCCTTTTAAGGTCTATGGAGCAGTAATAACATGAAAAATTTAGTAATAAAACAAAAATTTTAAAAAATATGAGATTTTTTGCGGAAACATCCCCCACACAGCATATTAAGTATAAAGTGATAGATTTTGCTCCTATTAACAAATCAATTATGGCATATAAGCTTCCTTGAATCAATTTGGAACGATTTCTAAGATGGATTGAATCTCGCTTACGCGTTAATAGCGCGAATTATATCGCGCGTTAATTTTCCCAAATTAGCCAAAATTAAACCCCCATAATATTACGAAAAACGATCACAGGTAAATTATTTTTTCAAATGTAAGCTCAGGACAACAATAGCTTTCGAATAATTTTAAAAAAATCCGTCAAAATGGTTAGTTATAAAGTCGAAATTTGTCTGAAGAAAAAACCTACCCGAGCACAAATATTCCGTTACTTTCCTTACGAAAGTCGGAATAAAGACGGTCACATAGCAGTATTTAAACAACCGCGTTTTCATACTTATCAGTAAGCAGACAAATACTATATTAACTTATGAGATTTGAGACAAGGAAGAAATGGGGACGTCCCATTTGTACCAACGGTCATTTGTACCAAAGTGAAAAATCGGTCCCATTTGTACCAAAATTATTCAACTCGATTTCTGATTGGTCGAATTGTGAGCCAACGAATTATTACATTAATTTTCTACTGTTCAAACAGAAGAAAACTAAACAGCAGAATAGTGACCGCCGCAGTCGCGCCAACGTGTTGCGAGCTTGCGGCTCTTAAACCAAGAGCTTAAACCAAGAGCTTAAAGTAGTCGGCTTAATAGTCTTAGGCCAATTGAATATTTTTGGTACTAACGCGAGTGATTTTTTATTTTGGTACAAATGGGACTGATTTATCATTTTGGTACTTGTGAATACCCACCGAAGAAATTAATAAGAAATAATTACTTATATCGGAATTTTGCTTCTCGTCTCAATTCTGATTTGTTAATATACTGTTTAACTGCTAACTGACTATTATGAATACATGCTTGTCTAAATACAAACCGCATTCCGTACAAAACGGATCTAGGACAACAGCCGACTGGACTGCAAGCCGAAATTTAAACTTTGCAAGCACCTCAAAACGCTACTTTTTTTCAGTAAAATGTTTGTTTTCAAACCTGTAAATTTAGTTCATATTAACAAAAGTTTACTTCATATTAACAGTTCTTCATGACAATACAGCATTTAGGAGTGGAATCAGATAGTTAGATCAGCCGGATTCTGAAATGCAGAATTTAAACTAATAACTATCATAATTTAAACTAATAACTATAAACTAAAAAGCTAATAACTTGCAGAGAAAGCTAATGAAGTTGAGAGCTTATTCAAAACAAATATTGAGAATCCCTGAACAAAAAAAATAAGGCAAAAATTATGAAAGTGTTGCTTTTGAAATAAAAAAATTTGTCTTTGGGTGTGTTGCAAATCAAAAAACTCTGTTCCTCACAAAATAAGGTACCACAAAAAGTTATTGGACAGGTTCAAGTCACATATCATATTAAAGCAGTTTCAATTGTGATGCGACTGACATTAATGACATTGTGATTCGTTTGGAAAAAACTAGTTGGAATCTTCTCTGCTACTTGCACAGCAGCAGATTGCTTTTGTATCTGTGTGTCATTATTGTTACGTTTACTTCCTGTTACTTAATTAAAAGATAGGTCATGAAAATCTTAAAATCATTTTTCATACATCTGGTTGGAAAAGAGCCAATTGTTTTTCGCTAGCACAAATCCTCAACAACAAATGTCAGAATACAAAAAGTTGAACATTTTTCATACACTTTCTTTTATCGCAGCCATTCAAAAATTTTAATTTAATGTAATTCAAGTTTGTCTCCCTGCTTCAAAGCTGCCTGAAATTATTTTATGGTAAAATTTGGACCAAAAAGTTGGCCCGGCAAATGAAATTGAAGGAAGAGTAAATTGCCAGTGAAAAATGTCAAAAAATGAGCGTTTACAAATTCTCGAAAATACTGCTCGACCTACTAAATACATGAGGTTGAATGTGAATCCGTTCTTTAACACTTTTAGGACGCTATAAACCACCTTTGTAATTTTTGAACTTTTTGAAAATAATCATGAATTGGTCGGTCTGAATGATTCAACGAATCGGGTTTCGTATAATATTTGGGTTTTGCTGAAGGTTAAGGTCAATTGTAAAGTAGTGATTGGTAATTCGCATTCTAAAGGGTTTTTTAATCAAGATGGGTGATGACAGATAGCCGAAAACGTAATCATTAGGCTAAATCAAAAGGTATGAAGTACAGTGCATTAACATTCTTAAGTTTGATGAACACCCCTGATACATCCGCCTCTGGTCGGTAATAAAATCATTCATAATACCTGAATTTTTTCTGTAAGTTAATTTTTCAAAATTAGATTTTCGGCTATCGGACTGTGCAACTATTTAAGAATTTAGACAGATAAGAAATTTATACAAAATGTAAGTAAATTTGACGAGTTTACTGAAGCTATGTGGACTTTTCTGACATTTCAACTAGAATGGGTTATGTCCAGGTTGTAACAGAAAGAACGTGAATGCCGAGCTAGTTCATCGGTCAGAAAAGTTATTTGAGTGGAGTGGATAAATTTGGACAACCAACGATTATACAAATCGAAGAAACTTCTAATCGTTTGAACTTCTTATCATAGAAACTTCTTATCGAGCCGAAGCTTCTTATCAGTTGAGCTCAAAATAGGAAATTCCATTCAGTAACTGGATTAAATTTGAAGGGGCGTAGCAATAAGCACCTATTAGCATGCAGTTGTTGCTTTACTTAGGTGTAATTTGAGACGAAACACAACTTTGCTTCAATTTTAATATAGCACATATTTGAAAATCACTTGGATTAAAACTTCTCCTTTGACTCAGTAAATTCTCAGTGAAGTAGATGTGGTTCAAAATTGCAAATTTTAATAGGGCAAATCATGAAATAGCTAGCAACTCAAACGCATATTTTTAAAATCTGGACATGCTAAAAGCGACTCCTGGTAATCGACCGCGTCACCAGCCTAAGTCGTCAGAATGGTTCATTTGGTGATTGAAAAAAAACTTGAGTTACACTACTATATTGTACTTTTCAGTTTCTAAAAGTTTTTTAGCGTAGAACATCAGAAAGGTCATTTTGGTAGCCTGGGAAAAATTTGGTTGTATTAAAAAATACTTTGATTTCTAAAAGATTCTGATCAGTTAAGTTTTTGTCGGTTAATGTCAGGAAAGTCCATTTTGCAATCAAATATTTTCGTGCTCGCACTAGTTCACAAGAACAATTCTTATCTATTTAAAGTGTTTGATTTATCAACGAGTCCATATATTTTGGTTTATCTTCAAATGCAAACTGCTACCAAAATCACTTATTTGCTAGCCACGTCAAGTTTCAGTAGTGGGTCAAAACTCTCGGTTTCTTCAACTGCATCGCAAATTGTTGCAAAAGGATTGCCAAGTGAATTTTTGCTTGTTAAGATCTGTTCATTTCAGAACCTACAATTTTGCAATATTCGACTTCTCAGAGAGAATCTTACAGCGCCAAACACACGAACCCATTTAAAATGAGGCCTACAGAAAGCAGTGACACTACTTCTCACAATCCTCAGCCCGAGATGCCGTTCAGAGTGAGCAGCGACCGAGTCACGTACAACTCGGATTCAATCGTATCGCAGTACATGTACGAGACTACTTGTGTCGAGCAAGCGGAGAATGGCTTGTTTTGTGTTAAGGTTGGTAAAAACCCTTCTTTTTAAAAGTGCTTGAAATCTTTGAAAAAAATCTCTTTGAAAAAAATTTCAAGCAGGTGGAATCAAAGTGATTAAAAGGTCAGAAAAAAATTACCAACAAAACTTCGATAATCTTATTGGGAAAAGGATAGGAAAAAATTGATATGCTTAAAAATCATTTTGTGATGAAATGAGAATCTAAGTGAACCAGCTGTTTCGTTTGTGCAGCCCAAGCAGGAAATAGTTGAGATTAAGACGAAGACCAGAGTCCCGCGCACTGGAGTGATGATGGTAGGGTGGGGAGGCAACAACGGCACTACAGTCACTGCCGCCATCCTCGCAAACAGACACAACATCTCATACAGAACAAAAGAGGGCATAGTGGTGAGTAAATTCTTCAAAATTTAAGGAATGAACATTCAAACTTATCAGATTTTTTAACTTTGCGATTTCTTATTTGTGATTTACTAAATTTTAACATGTTCTCCGGCATCAAATGAGTTCAGTTCAGTGTGAGTTTAATTCTGCTGATCAGTAAACTTGAATATTCCCGAGTCTTCTCAGAGAAAATAAAAAGAGAAAAGGGCAAGCGGAATGAATGCTTTCTTGCTTTCATTCCGTAATTATGACAACGTAACGTAATTAGGCTTCAAAGCCTGGTTACGTTACGTTTTCATGCATTATATCCCAATCGAAATGTTTCGAGTGATAATCTGTGAAGTTTCGATATAATGGTTAATTAAGTCGACAGATTGTGATTTTTTTCCTTTCAGCCCCCTAGCTACACCGGTTCAGTCACCCAGGCGTCCACAGTCAGCCTCGGCACAGACTCCCAGGGCCAAGAGGTGTATGTGCCTCTGGGCAAACTGGTGCCCATGGTCGAGCCGACCAACCTGGAACTGGATGGTTGGGACATATCGGGTAGGAATCTGGCGGACGCCATGGAACACGCCAGAGTGCTGGAGTATGACTTGCAGAGACAGCTGGTGCCATACATGGAAAAGATGGTATGATTTGAATATATCTTCAATCTTTGTTGAACTTGAAAAGGTTATTTCATGAAATTGAGCTTTATTAATTGAGCTTCGAAGAAACTATGAAAAGATATAATTTTGTACTCATTTTTTCTTTTTTGTTATTTTTCTTGAAAAATGACTTGAAGTCGTAAATTTAAATATGAAAAAGACCATTTGGTAACCGCCTCTAATAGACCACAATGCTCTAGTGAGCCATGACTTTTCTGATACAACGACTTCTGCCATTATTACTTTAATGTTATCCAGATTGTCTTGAAGGCCTTGCAGCAGTTTAAATAAGGTTTGATTTTAGACTCCGAGGAAGTCGTTCTACCAGGCAGACTTCATCGCCGCCAATCAGGAGGCGCGAGCTACTAATCTGATGAGTCACACACACAAGAAGCACGTGGTGGAACAATTGAGAGCCGACATCAGGGACTTCAAGACCTCCAAGAACCTCGACACAGTCATTGTATTGTGGACTGCCAACACTGAGAGGTACTTCATTTTTCCACTGTAACTCTCTCAAAGAGCATTTTAAGACTTTTTCCTGAGTCTTAAAAGGAGTGCAGCCAGTATTTAGACAGCCGCGTATTCATACTCGTCAGTATTTAGACAAATACTGTATGAACCAATCAGAATCGAGAAAAGACATAAATAATCCAAAATAAATAAATATTATTTTTTAATTTCTTCTTTGTCTCGATTCTGATTGGTTGAAACAGTATTTGTCTAAATACTGACCAGTCTGAATACGCGGTTGTCTAAATACTGACATGTAACCGTCTTAAAAGTCTCTAATAACTACAGATTTGCATTCATGCATATTAATGCATTATGAATGCACCTAGGTTTATATGCACTTTTTGAGTTCAATTGAAAATCATCTGCTGAAAGTTAGGAAAGTTGCACTCTCAAAGAAGAATGTGGAAAGGAGGCAAAAAACGTGAACGACTTCTAGTTTCGAAAGTGGAATTTAAGTTTTAGATTTTCCAGCGGAATAAATGTTTTTCCTATTGATCCAGTTATCTCAAATTGAGTGAATTTAATCAAAAAAGTATCGGTCGTTAATTCGTGTTGAAATTCAGAGACGGTTACGGCCAAATAATTTTTAGTTTGAAATTCGAAAGTTAAAGTTTTTTCAAAAAAAGGTCAGTTTTTTTGTTTCGTTGCGTTCATTGGTTCTTTTCCAACAGTCTGTTGGCTCTGTTTTTCCGCGCGAATTGTAAAGCGAACCTCGTGAATCACGAGATGTAGTGAACTTTATGAATAAACTATGTCATTCGAGCCACAAAGAAATCATTGAAGTTTAATTATTGAGATTTACAAATCACCCTCCATATTGCAGGTTAACTAATGAATAATAAAGCTTCGAAAAAATAAATTTCGCCATTTGAATTTGACTCTGTTTATTAGATACTGTGAGGTTGATGACCGCATTCACGGAGATGCTGATATGCTACTGGCAGCCATTGAGAGGAACGAGAAAGAGATCAGTCCCTCAACACTATTCGCAGTCGCATCCGTCCTCGAGAAGGTAATTGAAGAGTACAAATGCTGAATATACGATAAGAACGTTTTTTATTAATACATCGAGAAAAGCTCAAGAATCTGAATGCTTTTATTAAATTGAAACCTACTATCTGAAGCCCCCCGCTCAATAAATTTGAAGATAACCATGTAATTAATCAAGTGCGAAGTTACTGTCAATTTAACAAATTTTTGCATAGACAGACACGATATTTTTTGTTCTGTGGAGCGTTTTGTCAGTTGCGCTTTTATGTGCTGATTATGCGTTTTTGTGAGTTTTTTATGTGCTGAAAAGAGAATTTCAAATATTGTTTTTCCTTTTCAAACGCTACGTTCATTTCAGGCGTGCTACATCAACGGATCCCCTCAAAATACATTTGTACCCGGCGTGATTGACCTGGCTGAACGAGAGGGCTCCTTCCTCGCCGGAGACGACTTGAAGTCTGGTCAGACGAAACTGAAGTCGGTTCTGGTTGATTTTCTGATCAGCGCGGGACTGAAGCCTACCTCAATTGTGAGCTACAATCACTTGGGAAACAATGATGGCATGAATCTGTCCTCTCACGAGCAGTTCAGATCCAAGGAGATCTCGAAGAGCAATGTGGTCGATGATATGGTGCAATCTAACAGTATTCTCTATAAGCCAGGAGAGAAGCCAGATCATACTGTAAGTGCTTCATTTCATTTTCGATGTGTACAAACAAATACTAGAAAACGTAAAAAAATCGCCTTAGATAAAGAGTGTCATCTGTGAGAATGCAATTGCTTAAGAGATAAAAACACGTATGCAGTGAAAGATTGATGTTTTTTGGACGGTTATGTGACAGCAATTTTATCATCATAATATCTGTTTTTTTTTTACAAAATCTGTGTTTGTAGAAAGAAGTTCAAAATAAACTGTTTTATTTTGAAATTAGTTTTTGTTTAGGTCGTGATCAAATACGTTCCCTATGTTGGAGACAGCAAACGAGCGATGGACGAGTACATCTCGGAGTTGATGTTTGGAGGCCGTAACACGATCGCAATTCACAACACCTGTGAGGACTCGCTTCTCGCCGCTCCCATCATCATCGATCTCATCATCCTCGGAGAGATGAGTCAGAGAATCTTCTTCAAACAGCAGTCTGACAAGGTGTGTTTATTCTCGTCCAGCTCAAATCATAGAACATTGACTTCGTACGAGAAAGTTCAAGAACGAATCACTCATTTGACTCATTAGTAGTTGATTGTGCAGTCTAGATTTAATTGAACTAATATGCCACGTGGAGCGAAAAACAAAGACCATTAGTAATGCTTTTTTTGGAGTCAGGCTGAATTTTGAAAAATTTTTACAATGTGACGTTGATTGCTCATTTTTGATAACAAGTCTCAGAATAGTGAAATCAATTTTTCATTTTTCAGGACTGGGAACCATTCCATCCAGTTTTGACACTTTTGTCCTACCTCAGCAAGGCCCCCATAGTGCCGCCAGGAACTCCAGTGGTCAATGCCCTGTTCAAACAACGACAATGCATTGAGAATGTATTCAGAGCTTGCGTGGGCTTGCCGCCTGTCAACAACATGATGCTCGAGTACAAGATCAGAAGCTCAGCTGCAAAGTATGCTGAAGCTCCAGTCAAGACTGGCGGAATTTTGGCCAGTTCAGAGAAAACAATTGCTTCCAAAATTGCTGCTATTGGTGATCATGCGGAAAAGTATGCCAATGGGTATTCCAACGGACATGCAGTTATGGCTACTAATGGCCATGCCCATTAGATCAGCTTATTGTTAAATGCAGAAAACTGTGCTCTTTTTTGTTAAAGCTGGCAATATATATTTTACTCAATTTTTGGATGATCACAAATGTTGACAATATCTCAACCGAGAAATGCATTTATAAATTATATTTACGATGTTCTCTTTTTCGCTATCTAATTTAAAATGCGTTGAAAACAATTTTTCTCTGACCTGGTTTTTTGGAAGCATGAAACAAATTTATTGAACCATTTTATGTTTGAAATGCAATCAATACTTTCAAGTACTTTTAAGCAGGCCGTACAGCGGTCTACTTTTGAGCAGCTAACCGGGTCAAACTAAGTGTCAATGAAAAACGTGACGACACAATTATAGGTTAAGTTAATTTTATCAAGAACCACTTGGCTAAAAAGAAAAAAAGTGATGCAGTTGCTAAAATTTAATAGCATGAAGGCATCAGAGATCGCAATCCAATAACTATTAATTTCTCATTTAAAGAAATATGTATTAGTCCACCAGACTTATAACAATATTTCTTTTGTGTAACATAGCAAAAAATATACCTATTTCTGCTAAAACAAGGTGAATTACATCTTGCCTCGTATAATATTCAATTCACTTCTCGTATAATATCGAACCATTTTGAGAAAATTGCGTTGTCCAGATAATTTATATTAGCCTTGTATATTTTGTTTCATTCGCTGATGTAAAAATATATGAAACTTTAAATTAAAAATGAAAAGAATATGGTGATCTACTGGAGTCCCAGTGCAGTTCTTAAAACCTTTGAAGGATGCATTTTGCCTCGATTAATACGAGGCAAAATGCATCCTTCAAAGGTTTTAAGAACTGCATTGGGACTCCAGTAGATCACCATATTCTTTTCATTTTTAATTTACAGTTTCATATATTTTTACATCAGCGAATGAAACAAAATATACAAGGCTAATATAAATTATCTGGACAACGCAATTTTCTCAAAATGGTTCGATATTATACAAGAAGTGAATTGAACAAAAGATGGTTGAAGTTTTGTTTAGAAATATAATGAGGCAATTCGCTTAGCAAATTGGGAACCAAAACTACTCGAAAAACTTTTTTTGGTTCTCAATTACTCAAGAATTACGCTGAAACTGCCAATAAATTGTCAGCAATTTATTTTCAACGTGTTTTTCTCAAAACGGGTCAATATTATACAAGAAGTAAACCAAACAAAAGATGCTTGGAGTTTTGCTAGAAATCTTATCAGGCATATTAAAATTGTATGATATATTTTTGCATAATAAAATTGTTATTGTTTTCTTAACTGTCAAATTTTTTTGCTTAAAAATTAATTTTGAACATTTTCCGCCTTTCTTCGGAAAATACAAGTTTCCAGAATTTTCTTGTGCAGGGTAAGAAGCTTCTTAACATATTCATCAATCAACTCGATATTTTTACGCCTAATCCTTAATTAAATAAGAAAAGCAAAAAAAAAATCCTTTTGTACAATTTTGCTTTCGAACTTAAAAAAATAACGCTTAAACAATTCTAGTAAATTTCTAAGCAACTATTGTTCTGTTTACTTTTTGTCTAATCTCGATTCAGTTTGAGAAAAATTTGTTTGAGGTTTCCAATGTTATTCGTTTTGTCCGAATAAATTAAATTAGCAACCCCCAATGAGTTTTTTTTGCTAGAGTCTAAAATTGAAAACTAATTGACTATAGCACCTTAAAGAAGAACAATTTCGCTATTTTTTTGAAGCATTAAAATCTATTGAAAATCAATGATAATCGATTATTGCCTACTTCAATAGTTGAATACAATGGAAGCTCACAATAATCATACTGTTTCCACCTTTTTGAGATGCTAATTTTGACGCACACAAAATCGTTTGCATGTTTTAAACTAACGTTGGTTACCTGCTATTCACTTTCAATTTTTGATCTGTGCAACTTTGATTTTTGAGTGAAAACCTTTCAAAAAAGTTTGAACAAAATGGGGGGAGTTCAAAAATTACACGGGGGAGTTCAAAAATTACACGGGGGAGTTGAGGGAGTTCAAAATCAAAAGTTAGAGGTTTTTTTTGGTGAAGTGGGAGATTGGTTTTGGTCAAGGTGGTTTTGGTGAGATTTCATTTACCCAGTTGAAAAATGCGGCAAATTATGCAAAATTGCCCGGGTTGACTATCCTAAAAAATTTTTCCATTTTAGAACTTCTTTTAGAATTTGTAAGAAGTTTTGCAAGCTTACAAATTTTTCACCAAAAAGCAGTTTATTCCGAACCTCAAAAAAATTGACAAAAAACATTTTGAACTTGTTTTTATTTCGTAAAACAAATAGAAATCAACTTTGGGAATTTTTTGTCTTTTTTTTCTTTTTTTTTTCATGTAAAAATTGTTTATATAGTAGTTACAATGTATGCATTTTAAACAAAAAGTTCCGAAAGAAAAATTTTGAAATCTTTTTTGATGAATCTCTCAGTTAGATTTATTTAGCAGCTCGAACTAATTTCGGAGACAACCAAGGGCTGCGGAAGTGTTGTATGTGCGGTTCAGGTGTAAATCAACAAAATTCTTAGTCACCCTCAAACAACTAACTATATAAAGCTAGTGGGTTGTCCAAAAAACTTATGTGACGAAACAAGTAACGTAAATTTTGACAGTACTTTGGTTTTGTGGTGGATTCTGCAACGAGAAAAATAGCTAGATGTTCCGAATTCCGCAAGTGTAAGCGGATTCCGCAATTGTAAGCGGATTTCTTATACTTTTTGCGAATCCCACCTGCGTTTTGCGGATTCCGTTTACGTTTTGCGGATTTCGCTTACAGCTAATTCCTGGCCCCTGCGTTATAAAATATAGGTCTCTTTTTTCCCTGCGGTTTCCAACACTTCTCGCCTTACCCTTGCGTGATATTGGTTTTGAAGGATCCTCTTCACTCACAAATAAATCCAGCATCTGGGAAACCTTAAAATTTTTTTTCTTGTTTTTCTTAGTTTGCTGAGTTCTTAAAAAACTCTTTTATTCTCAAATTTTCCACCACTGAAAATTGTCAGAATTTTTGTTATAGTTGATAAGCAAAAGGAGGCTTTGCTCCCTTAAAACCAACGGCATTGAGTAACAGGCTAATTATGATAGGCATTTTGCCTAATTGGCAATTCCAAACAAATCGTTTCCTTATTAAACTTTTAAGTTCATTCTTTACCCGTAAGGACGATGTTTTTGAGCAAATTTCGAAAGATTGGTCAGTCAGGACAACAATTATTTGAGAATTGTGCAAACTTTTGTATAATGTAGAAAAACCATTATGTGTTCTCAGGTTTATCAACCATAATATTGTTATTGTAAGTAATCAAACTATTGCATTATATTATTTCTTGGCTTTGACTATTACCGAGTTGACAAAAACTACCAATCTTACGCATCAATACTGTGGATAAAACGCATATTACTTAATTCCATAGAATTCCATAGAGTGAAAAGTTGTATGAAAGTCATATGATAAGCATTTTTTCCATGCTATGGAATTGTATGACAAACAAGACTTTTTTACAACCCAAAAATAAAATCCTTCTCAAATGAAAAAACCAATAGGTTAAACGTCATTGAAATCGCAGATGAAACCGCATAATGCTAGATGCCACGTCAAGGAAAATTTGATTTCACACCAAGTTAGAACAAAAAAGAAGTTTTTTTCTATATGGCTACGAGGACCTCTGCGTAGACTACGTTATTTGCAGAAATTTGACAATTTGGCATGCAGGGGAGAATTTTGGGAAAAAGTTTTTTTGCAATTAATCTTGGTTATAGACTAAAATGAAAGCTAAAACTAAATTTTTCTCAGCTTAGGTTTTTTACTCGAAAATGATTATCGTAAAATGATTATCGTAAGATGGAAACCGTATTGTAAGCCTTTAAGCCTTTTTCCCTAGAACTTCTGCATGGAATTGTATGACTGATATGTCTTATATGGAGGTCAAACCGGTTTTGGGGTCATTAGAAAATCTTTAAATGTGAATCACCTTTTGGTTCGTCTGAACATAACTTTTTACCAGGAAACAAAAGTCTAATGAAAGTCCCCTCATTTTAGTTCAAAGATTCCCGAAGTAGGTGAAAAAAAATTCCGACGAAAAAACAACAAGCTGAAAAATGTGCTCACTTTGTGGTGGTAAATAATAACAAACATATGCCCCATGACACAAACATATACCGAGAAAAACGAAGAGATGAAAACAATATTTTAATAAACCGATTTGAAAACTGCTATTAAAATTTTCAAAGTGTTCATATAAACCAACTTCTACGTAAAGCATAAGAAACTAGTAATTTATTTTCTTGCAAGATTCGAAAAAAATTGAGCACAAAAAGAGAAAAAGATATAATCGGTAAAAACCGATTACAATAGATTTTGTTGAGTAACAAAATTTTAGAAACTAGGGTTGAAATAATGGATTCTAATCAAGTATAACTGGATCGAACAATAGATGGATTGATATTTGATTATAGTTAGTGATACTAGTTTTCAATTTATTATAATCTGGTTGGAAATAATATTAGATTTTTCCTCTCTTTTAGAAAGGTTGGTACTAAAATCACAAAAAAAATCAATTTTTAACGCTTGATACTGAATAGGGATTGGTTTGCCAGCAAAATTAGGGGCACAAAAATTGAAAAACAGCATTGTTGCTCCTTGCTTAACTTCGCTCGATGTTATTTAAAAGGCCAAAAACTCATAGTCTGTATATTCACTTCATACTCACACACAAGACATACTCTTCAATTTGTAATTGGTTCAAAAACGCTGTTTGAACTCATTCCTAAACCTTATAGAAAAAAATGGTTTTATTATGTCCTACACACCATTGTTAAGTATAATCTTATGGACATACACAAAACCACCACGGAGAACAAAAAGAAGAATGACGTTCATGGTATTGATTAACCTCACAATGAATTCGATACAATATAAATTTCGAATTAATCTCAGATATGAAAACTTTCATGTAGGAAAAACAAATTAGAAAAGTGGGCTTTAATTAACTCCTAATCTTATTATATGTCCATCTGGATGCACTAGTTCAATCATAAAACCATAAATTTGGCCCGATATGAAGATCCGTGACTCCTGATGAAAAGCAGAGGTTATCACCCGGGTTGCACCAAAAATGTCTATCAGACAATTCCATACATCAAATGTATGGAAAAATGCTAATTATACAATTTT